AGCCCGCGGGCGGAGGAGGCGGACGAAGGCGCCGCCGCGCCCAGCAGCCGCCGCCGGAGACCGGCGGCGCTCAGCGATGTCTGCCAAGGAGGGGAGCAAGGTGCTGCTGCTGCCGCCTCACGCCACTAGCGAGCGCGCCGTCAAGGGTGAGCGAGCCGCGGCCCCGCGCCGCCCGGGGGGGAGGGGGGGCCGGCCCGGCGGAGCGCGGGGGCGGCCGGCCGGACCTTCGGCGGGAGGCCGCGGTGGGAGCAGGGACTGGTGGCCCTGGGCGGGGACCGCGCCCGCAGGTGGGGAACGGGGGCGCGGGGCGAGGAAAAGCGGGGCCGGCTTCGTTCCGCGGGGAGACGCTGCGCTGGGCGCCGCCGGGGGAAGGCGCCGCTCGGCTCGGGCGGCCGCTGCGGGGCCGGCCCTGCGTGGGGCTGAGCCGGGCGGGCGGCCTTATGTAGCCCGAGGCCTGTGCCGCGGCCCCGCGTGCGGCCCGGCCGCGCCTGGCACCGGCCCGCGGGGGCTGCTCGCCCGGGGCGTCGGGCCCTTCGAACTCTGCGGGATTCTCTGCCGTCTGCGCATTGATGCCGGGTCGTGATGCCGGGAAAGAAGAGCTGCAGCCTCTGCGATTGGCGGTCGGTTCTGATGGACGGACTCACCTTGATCTGTTTTTTTCCTGGGTGTCAGGGTTTTACTGGAAGCCTCTACAAGCCAAACGTTATGCTGCTGGGAGGAAAAGGTAAAACGTTGCCGTGCAAATAGCTCTGTGTGACACTGAGGCTGTCTGGCGACCACAGTGCTGTGAAAAGCAGCTCACTGACCATGTCATCTTAGTATTTCAAGGAGAGTAACCCTTTGCAACTGTAGCACTGTACTTGTTAGATTTAACCTTTCTGTTTGGATGATGCTATCAGCAATGAGCATTTCAGCTCTTTGCTTGGATGACAGGTAGCACCCAGAGGTCTGACATGGTGCTGCATTTGGCTGTGGCACTGTGAGCGTGGCTTTGTGGCAGCAGACTGGGGCAGCTGGAAATCTGTGGCTGTGTACAAAGCAGTCTGGTTGCAAGGCTGACATTCCTAAGAGCACACAATCCAGCTGATTTCAGAGGAGAGATCCTGATCATTTAGCTGGACAGTTTGTCTTGGGAAATTAAGAGAATGCTTTTCTCTTCAGCAGGTGCTAATTAAACCCTTGGAAGCCTGTAACATTTTGGAAATTTGCACATTTCCCAGTTTGCTGGAAACCTTTGCTCATAGTGAGTTGCTACCCATTGGGGATTGCTTAACCTGTTGATTTGTCTGAACGCATTGTGAAAGTAGAAAATGGTAGAACTGGTAAATTAGGGACTTGTGTTAATTAGGGCTGTTGGTGCTAAACTTATAGTGGTGTTTAGGCTTGCTGAGGTCTTATACCTCTACTGCAGTCTGTTGTAACAAATACAATTTCTTCAGGTGATGTGGAAGAGCCTGCTGATTTCCAAAGACTCTGTAACTTTGCTCTGTTAGGTGATGCCTGTGAATCTGGTTGCTAGAAGGGGTAGTTAGGGCTTGCTTCATTCTAGCAGGATCACAGCCTGAGGCTACGGTGTTTCTCTGAACCTGGCTGTGTGGGATAGAGGCGTGTTAAAGGTAAGTAGGCCTTGGTACCTTCATCTGGAAGAATCACAGCCAGTTTAGCGTTTATACAGTGGCATTTTTCTTTCTGCCAGCCTGCCTGCTCTGTACCTGCTGTGCTGAACTGTGGGGTTCTGGAGGGAGCCGGGCAGCTGTGCTGAGCTGTGTTCTTAGCATGAAGGGCAGATGGCTCCACCACCCCCTGCCCCTGTGAGGTGCTTGTGCAGCTTGAAATATTTCAACAGCAACCCCAGTGTAGCAGGATTGCAGGTTATGTCAGGGCATAGCGGGTGCATCTGTGCAACAGAAATACATTCGTTGAAAGCATGCTAAAATGTGACATCTCTGTTCACAAATAGACGTGCTACCTCTCACATACAGGGAGCGCTCCTCATATTCTTACCTATGACACAATGAACAAATTACAGGGATGGTGATGGTAGTTGAAAATAGGTGGGCCCTCTGCTTTTGTCAAGACAGCACTGTGTGCCAGGGGACAGAAAATATTAATTTATTCTGATGAAAATGCATGGACCGGGTGTGCTTGTGAAACTGTTGAATGGTTAAATAATGTCCTGTACTTTCTAATTCTTGAATGCTGAAGAATCATTGTAGAATTGAGAGCTTTTCAACAAAGTATCAAGTCTGTCACTGATAGGTATTAATGAATTTATTTACTGGGATACGTTTCTAGGAATCTGCTTAAAGCAATCACTTTTCACCAAAATTCAAAAGCACTATTGGTTGGAAAACCATATAAGGGGTTCTTGGATGCTGTCAGCTCCATTCCCAGAAGAAATCTGTTTGAGGCATCCAGGTTTTCTGCCTCTTGTTGCTGAGGCATTTCTTTTATAACATCTCAGTTCCCTGAGAACAGCCACAGAACTTGGAAGAAAAATGCAGTGCTGTTACCTGGTGTCTCTGTGCAGTAGAGCATTGGGCTGTATTTTTCTCATGCTCTCTGTGCAGCACATCTTCTGAGGGAGAAAGATGAATTCAGGACTTAATGTTTGCTGGTGTTTGTATTGCTTTATCTGTTGCTCTTATTTCAGCTTTTTCTTTCTCTGTTGGTGGAAAAGGGGAAAAGTAACAGAAACTATCAAAAATAAGATGCTGTGGGAAATTAAATTATTTGTTATTAATACATGTTGGCAGAAGTGGGCAAGAGATACTCAAGAAAAAAACATTAGTTACTAATGGTATGATAATGTAATAATCAAATTATTAGTTTAATTACATACAAATAATTTAGTGATTAATAAAGCTAGGGTAATAATTAGGATATGGCCTCCTTTATATTTTGACCTGTATATTTGTCTACAAGTCAGGAATGCCCATGTCTAAAAAATACCTGACATGCTATCAGGTAGAATGTTCATATTGGACATATACATAACACAGTCGTGGCTTCAGATGCGCCGTGTGCCGTCTGGCTGCATTGGCTTTGCATTCCTTCCAAATAAGAATTATGAATCGGTGTCTGCATGTATTATAGTATATTAAAAGCTCAAATATTTTTTTTTTCACTTCTTAGTTAAGTTGTGTCTAAGTGATTTGTACTTGCAGCTTCTCCTTTAAGTGAATGGTTAGCTGCAGGGTTGAAATGCGTAGATTCACTGGTGGCAGGTGAGAGGACGAGGGAAAATGGCCTCAAGTTGTGCCAAGCTATGCTTAGGTTGGAAATCAGGAAACACTTCTTTAAGAAAGGGTTGTTAAGCACTGGAATAGGCTCCCCAGGGAGGTGGTTGAGTCACCATCCCTGGATGCGTTTAAAAACCATTTGGATGTGGTGCTCAGGGCCGTGATTTAGCAGAGGGTTGTCAGAGTTAGGGTAGTATGGTTAGGTTGTGGTTGGACCTGATGATCTTTAAGATCTTTTTCAACCTCAGTGATTGTATGATTCTGTTTGTGGCGTTTGGTTTCCCCAGGCCATTGGATGGCCAGGCTCCTGTTGCTGCATATGACAGAGATGAGAAAAGGTACCTGTCTTCTTGATTTGATGCTTTCTGAGATGCCCTCTTTGTCTCTGAAGAACACTTAGTGTGTTGTGCTGTCTTGTGGAAGATAGCATTCGAACTGCTGTTTGTATTTAATGATTCTGTCTGGTTCTTCTGATTTTACTTTATTTTTGCAATGAGTGACTGCCTTTGGTCAACATCTGTGAAGATGATGTCTGCTTTCCTGGTGATGGGAGACTTCAGGATACCTTTATTTTGAATAAAAGCTATGATGAAGTGTGATAGGTAGATGGTCATTTTTAGCTATTAAATGATATTTATTGAAGCAACTCAACTACTCCACAAATCCCAACGAGAAGTAGCTCATGGTTTAGCCTAGAGCGGGATCCTAACTTAAGATACTAATAGCTATTTTTTGGCAGCGATGTCCATGTGTGAGAAAAAGAATTGTAACATTTGACTTCAAAATAGGAAGTCTGATGTAAATTAAACAGGAACAAAACACACAGATGAAAGGATAGGTGTATACAGGCAGCTTGACAACTGTTTTGAAAATACAGTTAGACCCTTAGAATGCCTTTACGCTGCTGCCTAGCCTGATTCAAAACTGATTGAGGAGAGGAGGAGGCTATTAAAGAGAATATTAAAACTTTGGGGGAAAAAAATCATAGTTGTGAGGTGGGAGGGAAAGTGGAATGGAACAGAATTCTGATGAGTTAATGTTTGAAAAGCCGTATGTGTTCTTTCTCATTTTTTGAGGGAGTAATGAGAATGCATGAACTGTAAACAAGAAGAATGAACAGCAAACAAAGAAACCCACGTCTGCCTTAGTTTCACCCTTAGTAGGGTGAGGCTTGGGATGATAAGGCCAGAGCAGAAATCTGGCAACTACTTTCATCCATGTTTGTGATGGAAGAGCCAAAGAACTCTTTCCCAGGTGTCAATTTTTTTTTTTTTTTTTCTGAATGGGACTGAAGAAGTCTCACAGAAATGTAAATGGTTTCAGAACATACCAACAGTATGAATTTTAAAAAGTGTATATCCTGGGACCAGAAGATATTTTTCTAGTGGCATTCTTTTTCTAATGGAATTTTTTTTTTCTTTGGGGTTTTCAGGTGCAAAATTGCTGATCTATTTTCTGTAGCCTGTGGCATAACTCATCTTCTAAGTCTGAGAAGTGGAGCACAGCAGCGTTTTTACCAAGCTCCAGATTGAACTGAAGAGCTGTAGATCAGTGAGTTTAATTTAAGCAGACTCACAGCACTTGTGAAAGAGTAGACTGACTCAGTCCTTGGAGAAATATGGTATTAAATAGGAATCAGTCCAGTTTTCATAGAAGGAAATCCAGAGGAATTTTTAGCATTTATTTGGAGGAGCCAGTAATGTGATTGATCCAGGCAACGCCATTGATCACGTTCCCTCATCAGAGTCTTTAAAGTAAACAAAGGAGGAAATGTCCTCTTTCGGATCAAAATTAGTTAGGAAAGAAAATACATTGCTGGGTAATAAACTTCTATACTTGAAGGCGATCAACATCTGTCTATATATCACAGAATCACAGGGTTGGAAGGGACCTCAAGGATCATG